AAAGTTAAAGATGTACTTTGCAATCCTTAGAGCAACCACTGAAAATTCATATAAAGAGGGGCTCCTGGGGAGCTTTTTCGGTTAAGTGTCCGACTCTTGAGTTTGGCTCAGGTCATGATTTCACGGTTTGTGACATCGAGCCCCATGTTGGGCTCTGTGCTGACAGTATGGAGCCTGCTTGGGATTCTCTTTCTCACTCTCTCTCTGTCCCTCCCCTGCTCATGCTCTTGCACATGCTCTCTCTTGAAATAAATAAAAAAAAATCATCTTAGAAAATTCATACAAAGAGGTATAGCTGAAATGCTGATAGATTAAATTAAAATTAAATTCAAAATAATATTGAATTAATCCAAAAGAGGTCTGGAAAGGAGGTACAGTCAAAAAGGAAGGGGACAGACAGAAAATAAATAGTAAAAGAATAGACCTAAATCCAGTCATATCAGTAATTTATATCAAGAGGTAAAGAATTAAACATTCCAATTAAAATACAGAAATGTCAGAATGTCAGAAAAGCAACATCTAACTATATATGTTGTCTCCAAGAGAAACATTAAACATAAAGATACAGATACACTGAAAGCAAATGGGTGGAAAGAAAAGAGGTACTATGTGAATGGTAAGCATCAGAGGGCTGGAATGGCTATAAAAATCAAAGTAAGATGACTTCAAAATGAAGAGCATGATCAGAGGTAGGGATATTTCATTAAGAACAAAGGGTTATATATACATCAGAGACAAAACAATCATAATATTTGTGTGTCTAATAACGGAGCTTCAAAACACATAGACAAAAATTGATAAAACTAAAGGGAGAAACAGAAAAATCTATGTCACAGTTGGGTATTTTACTACCTATTTCTTAGCAATTAATAGAACATTTAGATCAAAAGGCCCCCCAAAACAAAACCAAAAAAACCCCCAAATTTGGTCAGACATATAATATCTGAGAAACACTATCAACCACCTTAACCTAAATGACATTTATAGAGCACTATGCCCAATGCCTGCAGGATATATGTTCTTTTTCAAGAGGACATTTACAGGCACCATAATTCATATGCTGGGTCCAAACCTATATCTCAACAAATTTAGAAGGATTAAAAACACCCAGATAATGTATTAAATGAGAAAGGAATTAAAACTAGAAATCAATAAGAAAAAGATATCTAGGAAAACCTTTGAGACTTGGCAAGTTAACAGAAATAATCCATAGGCCAAAAAAGGAATCAGGGAATATAATGTACAGCATAGGGCATACAGTCAATAATTTGGTAATTACTTTGTATGGTGACAATCACCAGATGTATCATGGGGATCATTTCACAATATATAAAACTGTGAATCATTATGATATACACCAGAAAACAGGATATGGTATGTCAACTGTACTTCAACTAAAAAAAAAATCATGAACAAGTATGTTCATAGCATACTATTTCTAACTGCAAAACTTAAAAAAACTCAAATGTTTATCAATAGAGTGGATTCATCCTTGGTGCCTTGGTGGCTCATCAGTCTGGTTGAGTGCCTGACTCTTGATTTTGACTCAGGTCATGATCTCACAGTTTGTGAGATACAGCCCCCCCCCCCCCTTGGGCTCCACACTGGGCATGGGTCCTGCTCCCTCCGTACCTCCCCAACTTGCTCTTGCACTCTGTCTCTCAAAAAAAAGAGTGGGTTCATCTGATGGAATACCATACTCAATATAAATGAATGAAATATAATTACATGCATAAAAATATAAAATAAGGGAAACAGGAAAGCAAACAACTCAACATTTTAAGGGGCAAAAGACTGGAATATTTTACAAAGAAGAGATACAGACAGCAAATAACTGCTGAAAAGGCAGTCAACATCATTAGTCACTAGGGAAATGTAAATTAAAACTACAGTGAGATACATGTGATACCTATTTAGATAGACTAAAAGTTAAAGTCTGACCATACCAATTGTTGGAGGGCACGTGTAGGAGCCGAACTCTCATACACTGCTGATGCGAATGTAAAATGGAATAATCACATTGGAAACTAGTTTGGCAACTTGCTAGAAAGTTAAACATACACCTACCATACAGTCCAGCAATTCTACTCCTCGGTATATACCCAAGGGAAAAGAAAGCCTATGCAGCTCTATCTACATAGCCTCCCCAGACTGGGAGCCACTACATGCCCATCAACAGGTGAATGGAGACACAAATTGTGCTATAGCCACATAATGGAAAAGTACTGGGTAAAAAAAAAGGAATGAACATTTGATAACATGAATGAGTCTCAAAATAATTGTGCTGAAGGAAGGAAGCCAGACAAAAACAGTACATACAATATGATTCTATTTATGTAAAACTCTAAAAAGTGCAAATTAATCTATAATAACAGAAAGTAAAGGAGTGGTTACATTTTCCAGGAAGGAGCCAGGGGAGGAGGCAGGAATTACACAAGAGTCAATGGAGAAACATTTGGGTGTGATGGATATGTGCATTATCTTAATTGTGGCCATGGTTTCACACAAAATTCAGCAACCATTTTAAATATATGCATTTTATTTTATGTCAATTAGGGCTCAAGTAACTGTTCAAACAAAAACATCAGCAAAACTAAAAATGTCATTTAAGAACACAAACACAGATGGGAAAATTACAAAGTAAAGCAAAGGAATGGTTAATTCAAAATCCAAAATAGCAATTATTTGAAGTGGAAGGAGGAGAGGAAGATAGGCATCAGCACGAGAGGTATGTGGGGGCCTTGACATGGTCCGAGTAATATTCTATACATGAACCTGGGTGCTGGACAGCCTACTATCATTTCTTCAACTGCATATGTTTTATACCACCTTTTGTATATGTGACCTATTCCACAATGTAGAAAAACAGAGTCTGTGGGGAGGACCACAAAGGACCAGAAACTGCCCTTTCATCATCTTGTGGGCAGGACACCCTGAAAACCTTTCCAATAAAATTCAGCTCTTTCATATCTGATAGGTGTGATATGACCTTTGAGACAGATAGGTTATCAATTTCAAAGAAGGAATGGAAAGATCAAAGTGAAGAGCTATTGTTTAACACCCTCACTTGTTATATTTCTGTACCTATTAAGTAAGGAGTTGCCAGGGGTGCCTGGGTGGCTCAGTCAGTTAAGCATCTGACTTCAGCTCAGATCATGATTGCCTAGTCTGTAGGCCTGAACCTCCACATCAGGTTCTCTGCTGTCAGCAGGGATTCTGCTTGTGAGTCTGTCCCCTTCTCTCTCTGCCCCTCCCCAGTGGTGATCTCTCTCTGCCAAAAATAAACATTAAAAAAAAAAAAAAGTAAGTCATTACCTATCTTGTCACAGCTTTGAGGCTTAGGGGCATCGGGTATATACTATATAGGTTAAGTACTTCCTGATGGGATTTTGGGGTGATGGTGGGGCTCGGAGCTGATGGCCAAGAAGGAATTCTTGAAGAGGTCTTTGGTGCAAAAAGGCGATTTTATTAAAGCACGGGGACAGGAACCATGGGCAGAAGGAGCTGCACTGGGGTTATGAAGAGTTATATACTATGGGGCTGGGGGAGGAGAAGTCAAGAGGAAGTTTCTTCAAGAGATTTCCATGTGCTGAAAACAGATTACCGGAAGCCTAACATTTATTGTCAGTCGAAGGTTGTTTTTCTGTCTAGCAAAGCATTAACAATAAAACATGAATTCGTGGAGAAACTCGAGTATGTGTCAATGGGCTACAGATTATAAGGAAATCCAATTTCATTTGCCACGGATTCCTTCTGGCCTTTATTTCCCACATCGTCATGGAGGGGAGGGTGATGTTGGGGCTCCGGGAAACTGAGTCTATAGGTTTCTGGAGACTAAGCTATTGGCAAGATCACCTTTTTCTTGCATTTACTGAGATGCGTGTAAACGGATGGAGACTCTATCAGCTTAACCATTTGTTTTCCATCCTTTCTTTTGTCCTTAGGCAGCCAGGAGTGCCTGAGGAACGTCACACGTATCCCGCCTGGGTGGGTGGGTCATGCCAGCAGGTGCTTAGCCCTCAGCTCGCCCGATGGTCCCTCATCACTTACCAATTAGAGTACAATTGTCTTCCTTGCACTTTCTCTAGAAGTTCACGTGGCTTCTCCCCTCAGCGCACTTATGCATAGTTTCCTTCCTCACATTTGTGTTTACTTGGTTAACTCTCTTTCCCCACCATGAAAATAACGAGCGATAGTAAATACACTGCTCTCAGCCGCCTCACTTCGCTTGGTAACAAATTCTGCCGCGAGGAGGGTCTTGGAATCTCACTTCTGACCACTGCACGGAGTTAAGAAGGGAACTCTGTGCGCTTCCCACATGATTTAGGAGCCAAATAATTTTCGGCTTCGGCTGGAAAAGAGCTGTGCTCTAGGCTTGGGCTCTAGGATGAGCTATTTTAGAGGAGCTGCACATCTCTACAACTTCAACAATGAAGTTTTCATATCCAAAGATCTTCGAAGAATGTGGTGCCTCAGTTCACTTTCCACGACAACCGCTGAAAAGATACCCTGCGTTGGGTTTCGCTCCGTTCTGCTTTGTTTTTGCATATTGGCCTTCGCCACTTCCCTCAGCCTGACCTCTGTCAAGCGGAGTCGGCCTCCAATAATCTCTTAACGTGGCGCTAGTCTCCTAACACAAGTTTGCTCAAAGCCTGTACCTCCGGGAGGTGATTTTAACCCCCTGGAGGAGTTCCCGAAACCACTGACTCCAGGGAGAGAGAACTTAGCTCCGTTTTACCGGTCTTGAACCCACCCCGCTTCACCAAGTTCGGGATTTGCGGAAAAACGCCCCACTGAAGAGGAAACAAGGTCACGCCCTTCGCGGACACCGCCCCTGGGCCTTTAATAAAGCCGCGGCCGCCTTCCCGCCTCCCCCCGGGGCGCGCACTTCCGGCCGCGGGGGCGTTCGGGAGCGCGCGCCGCGAGCCTCCACCAACCAGCGGCTCCGCCTGGCCGGCGCGAGTACGCGCGCGCACATTCGTGCGCAGGTTCGAATCTCCGCCGCTTCGCGGTTGCTCCCCAACGTCCGGCAGCCCCTCGGCGGCCGCGAGGGCAGCGCGCGGGCTGCGCCGGGCCCGGCCGCCCCGCCCCCTCCGCCCGCCCCACCTGCCTGCCGCCGGCTCGCCCGGAGCAGGTCCTCGCCGTCCGTCGCGCGCTCCGCCCTCACCCTCCGCCCCCGGAGCTCTCCGCGCTCGGCCTCCCGCGCCGGGCGGGCTCCGCCCGAGGCTCCGGGGCCCATGGCCAAGCGGCGTGCGGCCGAGCCGCTGACGTTCCACGTGCCTTGGAAGCGGCTCCTGCTCTGCGACTTTCCCGAGGAGCCGCCGCCGCCGCCGCTCTGGATCCCGCCGCCGGGGGCCTCGCATCCCGGGCAGCCCGTCGGCGTCCCGGAACTGCCCCGAAAGCGCAAAATCGACGCGGGGGCTATGACTGAGCCTTCAGCTTCGCCCAGCAAGCGCCGCGACGGCGGGGACACCAGCGTTCCGGGCGGCGCGGAGCGTGTGGGCCGAGGCCTGGAGACGGGCGAGCCGCCGCCACCGCCGCTGCTGCAGCCTCCTGTGCGGCCCCGCGGGCCGGGGGAGGAGCCCCGGAGCGCCCGGCCCCCGAGGGGCGGTGGCGACGACGGGGCGGGGCGCACGGAGCCCCCACTGGGAGACTGGGGGGCCGCACCGCGCCAGGTAGGGGCTGGGGACCGGCTGAAGGATCCAGAGGGTGGGCGGGGTGAGGAGAGGCGGGGGTCGCCTTTTACGCAGCCACTGCGCGCCCCGGGAAGAAACAGCTTGCCCTCCTCTTGACTCGTGTTAATCGAGAAGCCCCAAAAGGCGAAAAGCCGGGGTCCCTACTTAGGAAGGACCGGACTCCCAGGCTGTACACCAAGCCCTTGACACCTTGGAAACGTTTAGGGAGAGTCATGCGGGCTGACAGCTCTTGGCTAAACTAAGGGTGACCGTCGGGTGACGTAGACGTGGGCTTGCACCTTCAGCGCCTGTCCTGTGAAAGAGGGAAGCAGGAGCGTGGGTTAACGACGGGCTAGAGCCTGGTGAAGACCTTGACCGTGAACTGCGATAGGTCAGCTCAACGACAAATGGAGAAAGGACAGCGCACCTTCCTTTGCTTAACGGTGATTTCTTATAGAGATCGTGGTAGATTTTCTAATGGGGGGCGACCAATGTGGCAGCCATCAGTTGGATGGCCTATAGGCTGGGCACAGCACTTTTGGTAGACAGGAAGGGCCTCCCTGTCTTGGGAACAGGCTTTTAAAAACTCAGTGTTAAATCGGATTCTTTTAAAAAGCATCATTGTTGAAAATTAATTTGGGCCCTAAAGTAAAACGTATATGAGGATCGTAAATGAGATTTCCCGTTCTTTGGGAAGCGAGCCTGCCCCATCTCTGCACCTAAGATTTGACTTGTCTAGAAGTTCAGTGTGGCAACCATCAACCAGGTGAGACAGCGGAACACTTGAAATGTAAACCAATTCAAATTGAGATGTACTTCAATTGTAAAATACACACGGGGCGCCTGGGTGGCTTAGTCGGTTAAGCGTCCGACTTTCGCTTAGGTCATGATCTCGCGGTTCGTGGGTTCGAGCCCCGCGTCGGGCTCTGTGCTGACTGCCAGCTCAGAGCCTGGAGCCTGTTTCAGAGTCTGTGACTCCCTCTCTCTCTCTGACCCTCCCCTGCTCACGGTCTCTCTCTCTCTCTCTCTCCTAGAAATAAATAAAAACATTTTAAAAAATTGTAAAATACACTCTAGATTTCGAAGATCTGAAACATTTTTATCTTGATTACACATCGAAAGAATTTGAAGACACTGGATTGAATAAAATGTATTAAAATTTACCTGTTTAACTTTTTTAATATGGCCACTAGAAAATTTAAATTGTGTTTGTGGCCTGCATTCCATATTTATGAGTCCGCTTTGGTCTATACTTAGGGATTCGGGCTGCGTTTTGACAGTTCTGGATTGACTTACCCGGAGCTTTGGGAATAAAAGGACTAAATGTAGGGCTTAGAATTCACCGAACTCTCTTGAAGTGTTACATCATAGCATCCATCTCACCTTTTGCCATTGTCTTCAGTATCTCCTGCTGAATTAACCAAATGCCTTGCTGAAAAAAAAAGTGAATTGAAGTTCCTTTGGCCTGACTTATTGGTGGAAAAACCCAATAGAATAATGAGAATTTCATAGTTGGGAAAGAGCTTTTTCTCTGGTTGTGAGAAATCATCCTTCAGATAATAACATATTTGAATGAAAGTCTAAACTGTAAATATTCCCATCCCCAGTTTTCTTGGAATCTAGAGAACATGAAGTCTGGGTTTTCAGGGTTTTTTTTTTTTAGACTTACCTTTAGATTGCTTTGGGATATTCAAAATCCGCTTACTTAAAACTGAACGATAGTACTTAGGTTTTGAAAACAGAATAATTAGAACTTCAGTTATGTGTGTTGCCAGTGACAAAACCTAAGAAAACAAACAAACCCAGCATAATAGTCACCCAGATCTATTTGATAGGAGGGTAAGTACTCTATAGTTTGAAAACTTCCTCTTCAGACCATTTTGGTACCCCACCCATATATAGGCTTGTCTTCCCTGCCAGAATATAGTCACTGCAGTATGCCACAGATTGATAAGAAGGACATAGGGAAGTTATAGGTAGAGGAGAATTTTTTAGTAGACTGACCCACCTGAGAATCTCTTAGACACAGCTGTATCTTCCACAGCAGTGACTCCATCTGACAGCTCTTTGCTTCCTAGTCACTCCAGGCTCATGGCGAGGACTAAGCTCATGACTACCTTCTTCACCAAGACAATCCCTGATCCCTTTTCTTTTGGCAAAAGCCCAAGAGCCCTCATGTTTCTTCTTTTTGTTCTGTTCCATGAGCTGCTTGTCTTCTGCAAATTTAAGAGAGGGACGTGTTTTCTCCAGCTCCTCTCTTCCCTACCTGCTTCTAAAGATGCAGGGATTGTTTTGGTCTGTTTTAAGGGATTTACAGCTAATTACCAAGACACAGTGTACAACAAAAAACATGGAGAAGTTAAAAAGGCTTTTCGATTCATGCAGTAAATGTCTCTCCCTGGTTCCTAGCACTCAGAATAGAGCATAAGACCCTGCCTTCACCCTTGGGATCTTATTCAGGAGAGGTTTTCTCAAATATGGCCTTTCTACATTGACGATTCAATGTAGCAGAATGAAGATACCTTTCTGTCTGTTCTAGAACTTAAGTGTTTTTTGAGTTGTCTAACGTTTTTTTTGTTGTGTTGGCTTTTTTCCTGGGTGGTTTTTTGTTTTGTTTTGGTTTTTGGTTTTTTTAACCAGGGATCTAAAATAAAACCAGATATTTCTTGATTAACTATTTATGTGTTTTCCCATGATAGTGTCACGTAATGCAGATTCATTTGCTCTGTCTGCTGGTCCTCACCGTTATAGCCACTTTTAATGGAAAGTAGGCAGAAATGTTTTTTTCTATTCCTAGGAAGAAAATAATGATTTGTGGGTTTCTTGGGATATAATACATAGCAATGTTGAGCTATTACAGTACTAACCCTTAATTTGAAGATGAGGCCTACATTTTACTGATGAGGAAACAGACTTAGATCAAGGTCAGAGTCGGTGGGTGGTAGAGTTATCTAGCAAACCCAGGGCTGTCTGGTGGCAAAGTTTGTGCTCTCAGCTACTAGGTTACACTGATATCCTTAGAGGATCTTTTTTGAGCCCATGTTTATAAGTAGGTAATTTGAACAGTATATTTTTTCCCCCAAAAGGCAGAGATACAGGCCCTTGTTTTTAACCCTGTTTGCTTACCAAAATGATTTTGGTGGTGGTGGTGGGGGACATCCTTTGAATTACTGCATTTTTTTTTCATCCCATTGTAAAGAAATTCCAGTGATATTCTGAATTCTCTAAGCTTTAGTGTCTACGATTTCCTTTTAGGCCTGTGTGATCCAATAAAGTAACTAGCTACATGAGGCTGTCTATCGAGTATCGACATGTGGCTGATCTGAATAGTGCTGGAAGTGTAATACTCGCCAGATTGTAGAAACTTCATATGGCAAAAAGAATGTGAAATATCTCAATCATTTTTAAAACTATTGACTACATATTGAAATAGCAATATTTTAGATATACAAGGTTAAGTAAAATATTAAGAGTCATTACATCTGTTTCTTTTGTTACTTTTTAAAATTCTGTATGTGGCTCTCATATTTCTGTTGGATAGTGCTGTTACAAGTGTGAGCCTAAAATAAAACACAACCTGGTAGAATAGGTATATAAATATTCATCTGGGCAGAGTGTTAGCCTTCAGAATGGTCACCGTGGAAGCCTCATGTATAATTCCAGTGCTGTTTCTTTGCACAAAGCATTTTGGGGATGCTTTGGAAATTCTGTGCCAATCTTGAACTTCATTGGAATGTCAGCTTCACTTCATAGTTACTTGAAACAATTCTATAGCCATTCAGTCTGTTGAATTTTAAAGGAGCCAGCACTCAACGAGGATTTATCAGTGTTGATTTATTGATTTAAAAGTCACGCGTTCGGGATGTCTGAGTGGCTCAGTCGGTTGGACATCTGACTCTTGATTTCGGCTCAGGTCACGACCGCAGGGCCTTGGGATCAAGGCCCACATCAGGCTTCTTGCTGAGCATGGAGCCTGCTTAAGATTCTCTCTTTCGTTTTGCCTCCTCCCCTACTCGCTCTCTTTATAAAATTAAAAAGTCCTGCCTTGTACCAAATCTTGTATCTTTAATAAAGTTTAAGATTTTATTGTTATTTAGCATGTTTATAGCCTAAAACTTCTTGGCAAGTTTTCAAAATATTTTAGCCTATGTAAATTGTTTAAAATACCAAGCCTCAGGGGAAAGACCAAAAAATAAGTTTTAAGGTATGTGTTCCTCACTGAAAGGTAAAAATAAACATAAGACCCGTTTTCCAACATTTCCTTTGGTGGCGAAATGGAAGAAAATTATCAAGAAGAGATGCTCTTGGAAGACCTTCTTTAAAGTTAAACTACTAACAATGTTTTCACAAATCCATGAGTATGAAAATGCACAGATTTGACTGAGCCCATGAAGTACTTTGATTAGGCAGAGTTAAAAATGTGTATTTGTTGAAGATGCGAAGTAAAAGACCACACAATCTTCATGTGAGTTTGCTTTTAAAACAAAATTTGTTTCCTGAAACAAAGAAAAAGTAACTTTTTTATAAACCGATGATATACTTTCATCTCTCTCTCCTTTCCCTACAGCTCAATGAAGAATTTTGGCAGTATAACACCTTCCAGTACTGGAGGAATCCTCTTCCGCCTATCGATCTGGCAGACATCGCAGATGTCAGTGAACACGGCCCGACAGAAGCAAGGCTTCAGGGCAAGAATGACGTGGTTGAGATCGACATGGAGTCCTGACAGAAGGGGCTGAGGAAGAGGTTCTTCCTCAATCGAGGAGACCTCTCTCAAGTGAATTTCCATATTCTTAAGGAGAAAAGTTATTTTCCATACTTGATGTGATACCATTCCCAAACCTGGAAAATGAGGAAAAGTTGTTTTAAAGATACATGCCTGTAGTCACTACTGAAACTCCCAGAAGGGATTTGACAAGGATATAGTGCAGTTAGAGGGGAAGTATTTTATATATGTACTCGTCAAGAAAAACTTCTGTTTAGATTCTAAATTTGAAAATACCGATCTTCTAAAAAAGAATTCTGACAGTTTTCGAAACAGGTGGGAAACACTCAAATGTTCCTCTTCTCTGTACCAAAAAGTTAATTTGTGGTACATGAAATGAATCTTGTTTTATAACTGTTATTAATAAAATGCTTTCTAGTACACCCAGTTGACTCTTCTTAGTTGAACAAATAGCTGACTTAAACAACTATGCAAACTTGAAATGTGGGAGGAACTCTTAAAGGTGGTATAGTTTTAAAAGACCTTTTTAAATGTGAAGTGTAAGGTCATGAGAATTTCACTTTGGGTAGCATGTTTGCATAGCTTCTAGTATCTGATATTTGTTTAACTCTACTCTGGGGAATCAAAAATGGATAGGGAACAATGAGAAGTGAGGAGGCTTTTCCCTCCCCCTTTTCCCCAGGATAAGAGGAAAGAAATTTAATTGTATTTCTTAATTTCCTGATTTTTGAATTGCTTTGAGGGCATGGTTTTCATGGCTTATTCCTTCAGACCTATAGTTCTCAACACTGACAACACTCCAGACATCTTTGCCCGAGTCGCACTCGAGAGATTCCCATTTAATTGTCTGAGACGGGCCTTGAGTAGAGCTATTTTTTTAAGCATCCGTCCTCCTTTCCCCCCAGTCCTAATGTGCCAGCAGCTTTGAGAACCACTAGGCTCATGGTAGGTTTTCCTGTTTAAAGGAGATAACTAATTTGAGATGAAACAGCACCTCCTAATTAGCTTTGTTTTTATTTCACTCTTACATCGATGGATTTGTTATAAGTAAGTTATTGTGTTGTTAATACTATTTCATTGTTAAAAAAAATAAAGCAGTTTGTGTTTGAGTTGAGTATCAGTGATTAAGTTAATTAATTTGTACGACATCCAGAATGTTGGCTTTGAAATCGAGTAACTCATCCTTGTATTATTTTTTTGTTGTTGTTAACGACAGTAGATCCCGAATTCAGAAAGGATGATAAATACCAGTGAGAGAGAACAACCAACGTTTTGTGTATACTGTCGGATTTAAGTCTGAGTTGACATTCATAAGAGTAGCCTAGAACAGAAGACACGTACTGTGGTTAAAAGTTAAGGCTTTGGAGTCAGACCTAGCTCAACGGCTTGTACTGCCACTTTCTACCTGTGTAACTAACATTAAGCAAGTTATTTTTCATCGCCAAGCCCTAGGTTCCTTAATTGTGAATCCACATATGTACAATAAATAGCATCTACCTCAAAGAGGCCATGTTTATTGTCAAGCAATGGACTACGGACTTTACCTGCATCTTGCTTCATTCTCATAATTTATTATAGGTACAAAACAGTAATTACAAGTGCATTCTGTAGTTATGCTTCATTCCACTTTAAGTTGCCACTAGAAGTTTCACGGTAAGAATTGGAATTGAGATCCTAAGGATGGCGAACAAGTGGGGAAGGAGTTACGATACTGTGGAAAAAAGAAAAAGGGCAAACTTTCCTCCTCTTCCGTTTGACCGGAGAGTGAGGAAGGTGTCCGTTTTTGTTCACTACTCTTCCTGGTGCCCAGAACAGTGTGTGTCAATAGTAGACAGACAGTAGAAATCGCATGAGCGAATTAATAAGTGATCTTACCTTTTGATGGGAAGGTCAATGCCAACAGTTTTCTAGGAACGTATCTTACAGTTAGGCACTCTACCAAAGAAGTGCATACAAAAGATGTTGCAGAGAATCCAATAGTAAAACACTGGAAACATAAAAAAACTAAGACATGTGTAGCTAATGAACTATAGGAAGTGGTCATCTAATGAGAAGTTTCACAGGCTACTACAACGCAGGCTTGTGAATGAGAGATTCAAAGTGTAGCTCAGACACGAGTTCCTGGCTGACTCCCAGGAGAGCTGTGTGACTCTTGGTCTCAGGGCTGCGGCTCCAGCCCTACCATAGGTGTAAAGCTTTCTTAGAAAATGAGTAGCTCAGACCATCTTTTTGAGCAGTATGTGTCAACATACAGCACTAACATAAAGAGATTCAGGGAAAATATTTGCTGTCAATATGTTGAAGGCTGAACATTTTTATACAGATATGTATATACTTTAAACCTTTCAACATGTTTAATATGCAGAATATGAATTTATGTGTAAAGATGTATACATACATATCCACATATGTACATGTATAGAACAGACGTGAATGAATGAAATAAGGACGTCCTTTTAGAAAAAAATGTTTATTACTACAGATAATCTGGCAAAATTGCATGGTGGATAAATTAAGATGGAAACTTAAAGGTAGGTTTTCTTTTTTTTAAGTTGTATACACTTCACCCAGATTCCCTAATATAACATCTGACGTTACCACGGTACAATTATGAAAATGAGGAAACTAAATATCACTCTGTAATGTTATTATGAGGACATGGAAGGAATGACTTAAGACAGTTCTTAAAAGGTAGAAGTAAAAAATGTACAAAATTTATAGACTATTCAAATCTTACTGTCATCTGACTAACTTTTTTCTGGCCCAGGATTCCATCCAGGGTCACATGTCATATTTAGTGGTAGTATCTCCTCAGTCTCTTTTAAAACAATTCCTAGGAATTTCTTTGCCTTTCATGACCTTAGTACATTTTGCAGAGTACTGAGCAGTTATTTCATAAGGTATCCCTCTTTTTTGGTTTGTCTTATAGGTCATAATTAGGCATTTTTGTTAAGAACTCCAGAGAAGTGAGGTATCATCAGTGCATCACAACAGAAAGCACTGCGTGTCACCTTGTCTTGTTTTTGTCGATTATAACTTTGATTACTTAGTTAAGGTGGTGTCTGCTAGATTTCTGTGTTATAAAGTTAATATTTTCTCCAATATAATACTTATCTTCTGGGAAGATACTTTGAGACTATGTAAATATTCCATTTCTCATCATATTCTGCCCATAGATTATAGGACCTGTTGAACATTTTTTTATAGGACCTTACATGAACATTTTTGGGTCTGGTGTATGTCAACTTTCTATTTTCATTATCCCTTCTACATCTATTCACTGGAATTCTATAAAGCATGAGCTTTCCTTTCACCCCCATTTTTTATTCAGTGATTTATATCAGTATAGACTTATGAGCATATATTTTATGAGTTACAATCTGTTATTTTGTTGTAGAAATTATCCCAACAGATTTGGCCACTGGGGGGCCATTTGAGTTAGCTCTTGTGCCTTTCCCCATTTTTTAACATGCTATTTATTGTGTGAGTACTGGTTAACCTTGGCAATGCACTTCTGCATCTACAAGGTTAATGAATGGAAATTATGCCCCCTGTGCTCTGCTGTGTTTTTCACTGAACACTCTGATCCCTGACATCCTCTTCAGGGCTCGAATGGGGACTCGAATACCCAACTAGAGCAGCAGAGTGGGGATGAAATGACACACTGGCTGTGCAGAACCCATAGTGGGCACCAAATATATATGTCCCTTTCTTACAGTACATGAAATGCACATATTTGCCATCTTTCTGATAGGTAGGTAGATAAGACTGTTAGTGATCTCTGACAGTACCTGAAATTGAGGCCAAAACTAAGGTCACTTTTAAAGAATTCCAGAGTCCACAGAACTAAACAATAGTGTTCTAGTAATTTATATTTATTGATTGCCATATCTCATGTCTTTTTGATACACCCTGTGGTAGAATTCTGAAGTGGACCCAAAGATTCCCAGACCGCAGTGTATCATCCAGTCATTTGATCAAACACTAATTTAGGTACTACTGAGGAATACTGCAAATGCAAGTAAAGTCCCAAACCAGCTCATCCTAAGACGAAATGATCCAGGTGAATGTGACTTAATCACATGAACCCATAAAAAATATGGGTGGAGGGGTCAGGGACAGATGTCAAGTGCAAAGTGTGGGAGGGATTCAATATAGGAGCAATTCTCCTGGTTTTGGAGATGAAGGGAGCCATCTGACAAGAAGCCAAGAATAGCCTCTAGGGGACGAGAGTGAGTTCTGGCAGCCAGCCCACAGGGAAACGGCAACCTCAGTCCCACAGCCTCAAAGATCTGAACTGAGCCAGCAACTTGAATGAACATAGAAGTGGATTCTTTCCTGGAATTCCCAGAGAGGAACAGAGAAAGCCTGGCTGGCACCTTGACTTCAGCTTTGTGGCACCCTTGAACAGAGATCCTTCCCTGCCAAGTGGGACTTCTGACCTACAGAACTGTGAACTAATTGATATGTTTTTGTGGTCTTTCTTTTAAACACTAAATTTTCGGTAATTTGTTATTTATTGTTATTAATTTGTTATTTATTGTTAATTATTGTTATTTTATTGCAGCAATAAAAAACTAATAGAGACTATCATTTCAGCATTTCCATACCTTCTCACACTGATGTTCCATCACAAACATTTCTTTTGTGATATCTTCACTCTACTCTTGGTTGGAATCATTTCTCCAAACAGCCCTGGTTCTTTTTATTAGAGAATGTTACTTAGAAATGAAGATCTGGGTCCAAGATTGCTCACTGGTACCGAGTATCACTGCTTCTAGATCTTCTCAGCTGACAAAACTACAAAATACATGTGTATACAACTATATGTATTTCTACATCTATCAGTATACTTGTGTCTATATCTGTATGTATATTTTAAAAAAACACAAATGCGTATGGACACTTCCAATCCCAATGCAACTCCACAGTGTTCATCGTAACTTCCCCTTATTTTTTTTTTAAGTTTTTTTTTTTTTTTTTTTTTTTTGAGGGGTGCCTGAGTGGCTCAGTCGATTAACTGTCCGACTTCAGCTCAGATCATGATCTCATGGTTTGGGAGTTTGAGCCTCGCATTGGGCTCTGTGCTGACAGCTCAGAGCCTGGAGCCAGCTTTAGATTCTGTGGATTCTTCCTCTTTCTCTGCCCTTCCCCACTCATACTCTCTCTCTCTCTCTCAAAAATAAACATTAAAAAATTCTTAAAATTTATTTATTTTGAGGGAAGAGAGTATATGCACACGTGTCTGAAAGGAGGAAAGGCAGTGGAAGAGAGGGAGAATCTAATGGGTCCAGTCCCACAACCTGTGAGATCATGATCTAAGTGGAAACCAAGAGTCGAACTCATGAGTAAGCCATCCTGGCATCCCTTATTTTTAACTCCTTTGAAAAGTAGACGTCATATCCCTTATTAATCTATTTGCTCAATCCTCAAACACTCCTGCACCAAACATGCCTGCTAATGGGAGTAGAAGATCTATATATACTTCTTTTTGTGTTTAGCCTTTGGCTATTCAATTAATATATTGTTTCCTACAGTTACTGAGGTTGGTTATTTACTTGTAATACAGTTAGAGTCATTTGTTTCTGTTTGTATATCAGTTTTGACTCCCCATCTAATGTTTTTTTTGACATCGTTCTGAGTCAGAACTATACAAAAATGTATAATCAGAGAAGTGTCATTCACCCTAACTCCTCCATTCCCTATTTTCCCTACTTTGTTCCCCTTACCTCTGTAAGTAAACAATGTCATTCGTTTCTGGTTTGTTCCAGTGTGTGGGGTTTTTTTGTTTTGTTTTTTTTGCACTAATGGACAGACACGTATAATCTCTTCTTTATATACTTATAACTCATACAGATTTATTATAAAATTATGATTCTAATAAATGGGTAACGGACATAGAAAAATAGTTTACAAAAGAAAAATAAACATGAGCATAAAAAATAAACACTTTTGCTTAATTATGATCTCAAATTTTAAGTAAGAATCTGTTTTTATATATATTGGCAAAAGTTGCAGATAATGCTTTATTTTTAGTAAAGCCTTTGTGAAAAGCAGTTTGGCAATATGCTTTAAGAGCCTTATCATAATCTTTGAACTAGTTTTCATTCTGTATCTAAAAATATATCCTAAAGGGATAATCAGAAGCCCAGATGCAAATTCGCTCATCACTGTAATAGTAAATTACAAATTTTTAAAAATAGGTTTTAAGAGAATTGATGGATAATTAAAATATACATGATATAGTGAAATCATAAATTAGTATTACTAAGAGTTTTAATGATACAGAAAAATGCTTAAAAATAAGAAAAAAATAGAAGTTTCAGAGAGCTCATCAAAGTCTGTCTTCCACTAATTACAGCTAATAGCCCAACTAAAATACACCTCTGGTCTCTAAAAACTAAATGAAGGCATTACTGAATAGGGAATGGAAGTCAAACTTGGCAAAGCAACTCATACAGAGTAAAGTTTTATGGTTTTATATTTTGCCTTCTCTCCCAGCTTTGAACCAAGA